GGGGGGGGGTCCCCATCACCCCACGGGGTTCCCCATCACCCTGAGGGTTCCCCATCATCCTGAGGGGTTCCCCACCACCCCGGGGGGGTTCCCCCCAGCCCTGACCCCGCACCCCTGTGTCCGCAGGCTCCGGAGCCGGTGCGGCCGCGCTGCCCCTCGCCCCTGCGGCCGCCGGCCGGCCCCGAGCGCACCTCGGAGCGGGAGACGCAGACGGCTGAGCTGTCCCTGACCGTGGTGGCGGCCGTGCAGGCCGTGGAGAGGAAGGTGGACTCCCACTCCACCCGCCTGCTCGACCTGGAGGGTCGCACGGGGATGGCCGAGAAGAAGCTGATCGACTGCGAGAAGACGGCGGCGGAGCTGGGGAACCAGCTGGAGAGCAAGTGTGCGGCGCTGGGCACCCTCATCCAGGAGTACGGGCTGCTCCAGCGGCGCCTGGAGAACATGGAGAACCTGCTCAAGAACAGGAACTTCTGGATCCTGCGGCTGCCCCCGGGCAGGAAGGGGGAAGTCCCCAAGGTAACGGTGTCCTGGGGTGCGGGGTCTGCACCCGAAATGCTCACGGAGGGCAGGGCCGAGGGGGGTGAGCGGGGACAGCCCCGGCACAGGTGAGTTGCTCCCCATTGGAGCTGCTCCTTCCCAGCTCATCCACCTCTGGGACTAAAGTACAGTGGGTTGCAGGACCCAGGGTGACATCCCGGTGCTCAGGCCAGAGGTTTCAGTTCTGCACAGCCCAGGAGCCATTTGTGGGGGTTTTTGTTTATTTTTTTATACCACCATTTGAACAAAAGCACCCCAGGTTTAGTGGTTCTTTCTCTTTGACCAACTTGGTGCTGCAAAGTCTCCCAGCCTGGGGAAGGAGAGAGCTCTGGGATTTGGGGAAGACAGATGAGTTCCCTGGGATTAGCCGAGGTCTGGAAGGAGCCCACCATCAATATTCAGTTCCTACTTGAATTTCATGATCTTACCACTAAAAGAAAGTCCACAGATGGGACCAGGGGAAAGGGATTGTCACTGGAGAGAGTGGAGAGGGCTGGGAAAAGGGGGGCTCGGACCCTGCACCTCATTAGTGCAGTGGGGGAGCAGAGGTGAAGCACCACATTTCCTTCTGAGGAGCTGCATTCCCACACAGCACAGTTTGCCTGTCCTGGATTTATCCTTAGGAATTATTCCTTGGCAAACAGGCTGGGAATCCATGGCCTGCTCCTGGCTGGTGGGCACACAGTAACCAAGGATAACAGGGAGCCCTGCAGGCCTGGGTAGAGCTTTCCCTGGAGTTCAGGGGTAATTGAATCCGGGCGTTATGTCAGCTCATCCATAGGGATGAGTCCAGCCCAGCACCCAGGTGTTCTGTCCTTTGTGGTCCCTCCAAGCCCGGTCACTCTGCAGAGTGCAGGGACTGAGAGGAGGAGCTTGGGGTCCTTTGGGAAGTACCAAAGTCTGGATTCATCACTGGGAGCCATCCGTTTGGCTGAGACCTTTAATGCCACAGAAATACCTGCCCAGCAGTTGTATAAATGTAAGAACCAACTGGTTGATGGCCGTGAAGGAGCTGAAGCCTGGCTGTGTCCCAGGGGGAGCTGCTGTCTCCGGGCTCCTGGGGAGGGAGGCAGCCCTTGAACCGGTGCTCTTGTGACCCAGGTGCCGGTGACATTTGACGACGTGTCCGTCTACTTCAACGACAAGGAATGGGAGAAGCTGGAGGAGTGGCAGAAGGAGCTGTACAAGAACGTGATGAAGGGGAACTACGAGTCGCTGATCTCCCTGGGTAAATATGGGGGCACGTTCTCTTGGGCTCCTTCTGGCTCCTCCTTGGGGATCCCCTTGGATGAGACCCAAATGTCCCGTTTTAAAGACTTAAAAGCACAGGAGGGTGTTTCTAGTTTGGGTTCATTCCCAGCTCGTGCCGTGGTGCTGTCCTGGCTGAGGGGGATCTCCATAGGCAGGTGGGCTGGAGACTTCCCAAACCTCTTCCAGCTGGAGCTAAATGGTGAAAAACCAGCACCTTCTCCGTGGCTGTTGGAAGGGCTTCCCTGCACCTTCTGGGTCTGCAGGGGGTACCAGCCCACGCACCCCCTTAGAGGGAACTTTTGCAGAGGGAAAAATTGTCTGATGTGATCTGTGCTTTGGGGCATTTCCTGCAGAGCTTCAGGAGAAATCCCGGCTCTGCTGGGAGCTGAGAAGTGCCTTTGGCTGCAGGAGAGCCAGGATTTGTCTGAGAAGTTCTAAAACCCCACCAGAAAAACACAGGGTTTGGGTTTCTTGCCTAAGGCAGTTCCTCTGTGTGGCACCTCAGCTCCTGCCTCTGGCAGTGCCCGGCTTTGCTCCCCACAGCCCCTCTGGATGTTCCTGAGTGTCTTCCCATGTCCCCCAGGCACTGGGGAGAGGTGGAAGGCAGCCTTAGACTCCCAGTGCAGTAATCCCTCTCTCCATCCCTCTGTCTCTCAACAGACTATGCAATTTCCAAACCTGGGGTTTTGTCTCAGATCGAGCAAGGAGAGGAATCGCGGGGCAGAAACGAGCAGGACTTGGAGGAGAGTGAGATCATTACTGATGCCACAGCAGGTGAGACCTTGGCACGAGGGGAGCCCTGGTTGTGTCCCGAGGAGCTGCTCATCCCTGGGCTAAAGCAGGTGTTGCTGGGAGCTGGGGGGGTTATCAGGAGGAGCCTTGCCTAGGAACAGGATAAGTTTGGCCGATCAGAGATTTGATGTCCAGGTACAGCTCAGCACATAAACCAGGGCAGGAGGAGCCCAGAGAGCTGGGCACTGGGAACCATCTGCAACCAGACCAGGTCCTCAGAGAGCCAGTGTGCCTGGCAAGGAAGGAGAATTGGGTCCCACTGGGAAAGCCCATCCACCCAGAAAATCCTCTCCACCCTCTCTTTGTGTGGATGGTGCCTGGGTTTATCCTTGGAGTGCCCTCCCGGGCAGGGAAATCTGCTCCCATCCTGTGTGCAGGGAGAAGGGGTGCTGGCTGAGGGGTTGCTCCAAGGGCAGGGCTGGGCTGGGAGAAGGGCACCAGGGATCCCGAGTCCCGGAGCAACTCCTGCTCTGGGATAAGGGGGCTGATAAATAGGTATCTTAGAAGAGGTCAGCTCCACTGGCCATCCCTGGTGCTAGGCTGTGGGTGTGGGGTCACTCTGACCCCCTGCCTGTGCTCTTCACCGCAAGGATCTTGAAATTAAATTGAGGCCAACGGGAAGAGGAAAATCGTTGGGATCTGCAGCCGGGGGATGTGGGGAGCCCAAGGGGTGCTGAGCTGTGGCACCGAGTCCCAGGCTGGGCAGAGACAGTCCCCTGGGCCTGCAGAGGATCCCAGGGGAGAGGCGGGAGCGTGGCAGGGATGGGAGAAGGGCAGGGGCTGGAGGGAGAGCAGAAGTGGCCGAGCAGGTGAAACCCCTCTGCGGGATCAGTGGCCAGACCCAGCAGGGATGGCTGTGAGCGGTGTCTCCATCCCGGCTCCCGGGAATGACGGCGGGCGGGAATCTCTCTTTGCTGCAGCTGGAATAAGGGTTGTGATCAAAACGGAGGAGCTCCTTCCCGAGGACAGCCCCGAGAACCCCGAGCTGCACGGGATGTCGGGGCAGTCGGAGGGCAGCTTCCAGAGCCCGGACGAGGAGGCGGCTTGTGAGAGCCCCTACGGCTCCGTGTCCCCTCCCAGGGACCTCCCGGGAACCAGCCTGGGGGACTCGTCCGAGTACGGAGCCGACTTCAACGAGATCCAGAGAGTCATCGTTCACCACGGGAGCTGCACAGGTGGGACCTTGGGACACGGCTCCGGGGCTGGGGGGGGGGTCAGGAAAAGGTGGGGAACGGGTTGGATGGACGGGCAGGGTTAAATATCCCCAGAACCAGCACCAGTTTCTGGCTGCAGCAGCCTTGGGAGCGGCTCTGGTCAGAGGTGAGGGGTCCTGCTGGTTGACCAGTGTGGGGGTCACTTGGGGCAGGTCCACAGGACAGGGAGGAGTGTGGCAGGACCCCCGTGGCATCCAAGCTGCCAGGAGGGACAAGGAAGGGTGAGGTTGTTTAGTGAAGAGACAATGGCACCAGGCCTTTCGTGGGTGGAATCCTGCCAGTCGGGTGGCACACGTGGGCCAGGTCCTACAGACCTGCTGTGAGGGGTGGTGGGAGAGCAGGGAGACAGGAGGTTGGGAATGGCGGGTCCCCTCCTCCTGACAGCTCTGTGGTGGGGTAACACAAACCAAGAGGGAGACAGTTGGGCTCCTGAGGGCCTCGTGGATCCTGTGGTCTGCTCATGGTTTAGGAAGGGAAAGCAGCCAAGCCACCAGTGGGGCTGGAGATGGTCCTTGTCCAAGGTGTGGGGCCTGGCTGGTGGGGCTGAGTGGGAGCTGTGGTGGCAGTGACTGGGTTGGGGGTGCTGAGCCCCCGGGTCTGCAGAGGAGGCAGGGAGGAAGAGGACCTGGAATTCCCCAGGACCCCTCTGCTGGAGGGAAGAGAGCCACAGCTTTGATACATCTGGGTTGCCTCTTGGGAAAGCATGGCTGCTCTTCCTGGAGGAGCACATGGGTCTGGCTCAAAGTGCAGCACAGGGTGACATGAGGGATCCACTGTGGATTTCCTCCGTGTCCCTGGGATGTGCAGTGACATGGGGGATCCACTGTGGATTTCCTCTGTGTCCCTGGGATGTGCAGTGATATGGGGGATCCGCTGTGGATTTCCTCCGTGTCCCTGGGATGTGTCCCTGGCAGGGCAGGTCTCACCAAACAAAAACACCGGGTCACTTCCGGCGTCGGTGACAGGAGGGGGAGCCTGACGTGCGTCCATCCATCCCACTGCTGGTCACACCGGGAAGCAGGGGGGTGAGGCTGAGGGAAGGGGACGTTCCCAGGCTGGGTGTGCTGTCCCAGGAGCGGAGCTGGGTGCCTGCAGCCCGGGGCTGTGTGTCCGTCGAGCAGTGCCGTGCCGGGAGCGTTGTTGTATCCCAGTGAAACGGCAGCAGATGGAGCTGCTCCGAAATCACTCGGCCACACGAGCCTTCACAAACTGATGGTGCTTTTACCCCCCACATCCTGCAGCACCATGAAATTGCCACACGTTTTGGCAGGAGGGTCCGAGGGCCCCTCAGGGGCTGTTTGTCTGAACTCCGTGTTGAGGGGTGACATGGCCCTTCCCAGCGCTCCGGGCTCCGACTGCAGCCGGCTCCCTCTGGGTGGTGGGGCAGAGCAGGCAGGGGCAAACAGCTGCAGGAGCCCGTCAGATGTTCCTGCAGCACCCCCCATGTGCATAAAAGGCCACCCCTTCCCACCCCGTGACCCTGACGCTGTTCTGGTTTCCTCCCACAGAGGACGGGATTGTGATCAAGACGGAGGAGGAGGAGGAGGACGACCCCGACACGCTGGAGCCGTGTGCCATGTTCTCGGGCAGGGCTGAGCCGCCGGCGTTCCCCAGCCACGAGGCCGGGCTGGGCTGCGAGGCGCAGTGCAGCTCCAAGGCCCAGCCCAGGGGCCTGGCAGCCCGCGTGAGGAAGCCGTCGGCCTGCGAGAGGGACCCCGGGGAGATGAAGTCGGCCAGCGCCCAGCAGCGGAACCGGACGCGGGAGAGACCCTACATCTGCCCCGAGTGCGGCAAGAGCTTCATGCTCAAGATCAACTTCATGATCCACCAGCGCAACCACCTCAAGGAAGGGCCCTACGAGTGCCACGAGTGCGACCTCAGCTTCCGCAACAAGCAGCAGTTCCTGCTGCACCAGCGCAGCCACACGCGCCGCGGCGTGGGGGTCCCGCGGCGCCCCGAGCACGGCCTCAAGCCCCCGGCGCGGCCCCCGCCCCCGGGGAAGCCCTACAAGTGCTCCGAGTGCGAGAGCAGCTTCAGCCACAAGTCGAGCCTCAGCAAGCACCAGATCACCCACGTCGGGGAGCGGCCCTTCACCTGCGGCGAGTGCCGGAGGAGCTTCCGCCTGCAGATCAGCCTCCTCATGCACCAGAGGATCCACGCCGGCAAGAACGAGATGGCCTTCCTGTGCCCCCAGTGCGGGAAGAACTTCACCCGGCCCTCCCACCTGCTGCGGCACCAGCGGACTCACACCGGCGAGCGGCCCTACCAGTGCAGCCAGTGCGAGAAGACCTTCAGCGAGAAGTCCAAGCTGACCAACCATTACCGCATCCACACGCGGGAGCGCCCGCACGCCTGCGCCGTCTGCGGGAAGGGCTTCATCCGCAAGCACCACCTCCTGGAGCACCAGCGCATCCACACGGGCGAGCGGCCCTACCACTGCACCGAGTGCGGCAAGAACTTCACGCAGAAGCATCACCTCCTGGAGCACCAGCGGGCGCACACCGGCGAGCGGCCCTACCCCTGCACCGAGTGCACCAAGTGCTTCCGCTACAAGCAGTCCCTCAAGTACCACCTGAGGACGCACATGGGAGAGTGAGGGGCTGCCCGGCGGCTTCCTCCCCCTCCTCTCCCTCCCTCCACCCCTCCTCCTCCTCCTCTTCCTCCTCCTCCTCCTCCTCCTCCACTCATCTCTCCCGCCCTCCCTCCATCCGTCTCCCCCCACCCCAGCTCAGGGCATGGACATCAAGGAAGCTTTGTGTGGTAGCGCCGCTGGTCTGGTGGAGACTGGGCTGATTGGAAATAAATTAATGAATTAAAGCAAGCAACGCGCGGCAAAATTAAAAGATTATATATATATAAAATTAACAGAAGCAGCTGATTTAGGGGGAATCCTCACCACCAACAAAAGAAACCTGTACAGGGTGTTTTGCCGGAGTAGGACTCGTAACTGCTTTTTAAATCTACTGTTTGGTTTTTTAAAATAAATGTGGAGGAACTTTTTAATTGATAAGCAACCTTAGGATGGGCAAGATTTTCTGGGTGGTTTTTTTTGTTTTTGTTTTTGTTTTTTTGTTAAATGCTCTGTAGGCTGATTCTGGCACAGTCACTTTTTGTCCAGGAGCTCTGCAGAGGTGCTGCCTCGTCCCAGCTCTCCGGGCTGGACGCGAGAGCCGCTTGGCAGCGCGTGGTTACAGAAGCTCCGGCCGGGGGGAGGTGAGTAATTAACAGATCCAGCTAACGAGGAGGTTCTGCGTGTGTCTAGATTGGAAGCGCCGGTAGGTGCCTGCCCGGCTCGCGGGGCTGTGATGCACTCCTGAATTATACAATAGAATAAAATTCTAGTTGCAGTAAAAGAGCCTTTTTCTGGTAGGACCGCTCAGCAAGGCTCCTCCAAACACTCGTCCCTGGCGCTCAGTCCTCCCGGGGGTCCGGCCTTCCTGCTGCCACGAGGGCATCGGGGTGCTGGGGGTCTGGCCATGGCTGCTGTGGGGTCACCGTGGACCTGAGCACAACACCTTGGTGTGTTCAACTGCTCCTCTGCTCTCTTTGCACTAGTGGCAGGAGCAGCGGGATTCCTGCCCCAGATGAGGAGCAGGTCCTGGGCTGGCTCCAAGAAAAGACCTGATCAGCTCGGGGCTGCCTGTGGGACATCTCCCGGTTCCCAGGTCCTCGCTGCCGGGGTCCCTCACCACATGTCACAGGGGGTGGGACACGGGGCTGTCTCCTTGCTGTCTGCACCAACTCAGTTCCCTGTGATCCGGTTTGTCCTCAGTGCATCTCCTGAGGTTGGGCTGTGGATGCATCCGAAGGGCCAGCCCGTGGCCAGAGGGGTGACACCAACTCCCTGGAGCACACTGGGCTCCTTCCCAGCAGTGTCAGATCTCATGTGGGACAGTGGCATCAATAAACAGAGCGATGATGGGATAAGTTGTCAGGACCTGTTAATGCCTTTGCAGGACCAAAGTCCTCATCCAGGACTTTCCCGGTGTATGAAACCTTCCCGAACTTGGAATTTGCAGCCTCTTCCATGCTAGAAAGCACCGGAGGGCAGTGCAGCCATGTGGAGCTGCCAAGAGCCACCAGCCAGTCACTGCCGTGGACAGGAGCATTTTGGGGCTGCCAGGACAGGCTCCAGCCAAGGTTCAGCCTTCCCACTGCTCTGGTGGTGCCCACAACTCCCTGGAAGCAGTTTGGGGTTTCAGGTCAGGGTGTGCAGCCTGACGTGGGTTGACACTTCCATCTCTGGAAGTGGTGGAAGGTGTCCCTTCCAACCCAAACCATTCTGGGATTCCATGTGAAGTGCCACAATGGGGCTGGGTGTCCTGGGAGGGAGGTGTGGGTGCAGGACAGGGAGTCTGGCTGCAGCCTCGGGCTCCTCAGCAGCTTCCCTGTATCCCTCTGATCTGGACTAGATGCGATTAAGGGGAAGAAGGAAATGAAAAGCAGAACTGACTCTGTTTCTGAGTGGCTCGCGTTCGTCACACTGGCAGCACCACGGACCTGGCAGCACCTTTTTCCTTGCTAAAAATGGAGGGATTCAGCTTTTTTTTTTGGCAAAACCAGCACTAAGGAGCCCTTACCAGCCTGGTTGCCCCTCTGCAATGCCAGGACCTTGGTGTGGCCAGGCTGGCAGTGCCCCTGCTCTGCTCTGCGTGGCTGGGTCCCACGTGGCACCTCCTCTCCCCCTCACACTGCTCCTTTCCCACTGCACACAGACATAACTGCGCTGCTCGCTGGATTCTGCCAGGATTTAACAACATCCAGGTGACCTTGAGCGGCTCAAGTGTCAACAATCCATCTCCCACGACCCTGGGGGGGATATGACAGGGCCATCAGGCCCCCCCTGGCCGGCACTGAGCTCAGGGTGGCAGCGGCACCGAAAGGCCACGGCAGCGGCGCTGCTGTGGGCACAGATCTGGGGGTGGCACGTGCAGGAGCAGCCTCTCTGCCCCCCCTCTCTCTGCAGGGGATCAGCAGGTTATCACCCTCCACTCAGCCACGGGTGGGTTCGTTTGAGGGGTTGCTCAGTGCTGCAAACACCGCTCAGCCTCGGGGGTCCCAGCTCCTCGAGGGCTCGTGCTTCCATAGGGTTGTGCCGGGGGAGCTGGACATGGAAGCACCCAGAATGCAGCAGCTCTGGGGACAGGGAACAAGCAGGAGCCACCACAGCTGGGCTCTGAGTACCCCCTGGCAGCACCCCACAGGCTCTGGATGAGCAGGGACACCCCGGAGAGCTGCAGGGATGGGGGGCTGGAAGCACCATGCCCACCCCTCTGGAGCCACCGGGCCAGGGTTGGGGACCCACTGGGGTGGGGAAGCTGGAGCGTTCAGCAGGACATGGCCATGGCAGGGCAGTAACTGCCTGGAGAGGGCGTGTTTGACTGCTTTATTGTGTCAGGGGTGCACGGGGTGCCCCCCCAAATGCTCCTTGGGCCCCAGCTGGCAGCATGTGAGGGTGGCAGAGGAGCCAAACCGATGGCTGAACACAGGGGGCTGATTTTGGGCACGCAGCACCCACGGCAGCAGCACAGAAGGGGCAACGTGGTCCCTGTAGAAAGGCACGAGGTGGCTCAAGAGGCTTTCTGGGAACCCTCTGCCCTTCCCCAAGCACTGCTGCTGCTCTCCGGGTGTTTTGGAGCTGTGACAAGAGGGAAGGAGACACTGGCAGAGGTGCTGGCAGCCACGGGATGTGGGGATGGAAGCTGGAGCCCCCCTGCCTGGAGCAGCTCTGGGTTCGGGGGGATCTCAGGAGAGCAGGACGGGGCTGGCAGCACACAGTGAGGCAGCCCCGGCACAGGATTACCCTCGGCTCCCACAGGGCACAGCTGCCACTCCAACACAATCCCTTCCAACTGCATTAACCCCAGCACGGGCAGCCGGGAATCGGCTCCGGCAGGCGCGAGGCCTCGGGAAGGATCCCAGGGCCGGGCCTTGGGAAGGATCCAAGCGCCAGACCTCGGGAAGATCCTGCTTGGCACCTCCACCCCGCCCGGGGCAAAGCTCCCAGAGGCCTTCCAGGTTATTAATGAGTGAATTAATTTAAGCATCCCGAGCATCCACGGGGGTTGGCAGTGCCGAGCCGGAGCGTGCCGGCTCTGCCCCGGGGGAAGGCTGGGATCAGGGCTCACACTCACACACACTCAGCCCGGCCCTCCCTGTCTGTGCCCGCTCACATGGGCTGCCCACGGGCACACGTGTGTGCAGAGATGGGCACCCACAGCACACACAGAGGGGCCCTGTGTCTGTGCCCCCCTCCCGGTGTTTCCCTGCTCGTTCCTCCCTGGTTTGCAACACACGCACAGACACACAGACACACACAGACACACACACAGACACACAGATAAATAGACACAGACACACACAGACACACAGACACACAGACACACAGACACACACAGACACACACACAGACACACACACAGACACACAGAAACACAGAGACACAGAGACAGACACACACAGACACAGACACAGACACACACACACAGACACACACAGACACACACACACACAGACACACACACACAGACACAGACACACAGACACACACACACACACACACAGA